CCATCTCCGGCGACCCTGTTTCGAGAAGTTCCGGCGAGCCTGACCCATCCCGCGAGCTGTCGTGATCCATTCCGACGCCTCTTCGTGCAGCACCTCGACGAGCAGCGACTCCGGCCGTAACCAGCAGCAGCGACGAACCGTCCTCAGCCGCACCTCCTTTCGCGAGACGAAGTTCACCATCGAGCCCGTTCGAACCCTTCTCGCTCGTTTCCCGAGAACGGTATCGATTCTCGATTTCGCGTTTATTTTACGTTATTACCATTGTGTTTGTGGTGCCTATCGGATTCGTGTGAATATATGGATGTACATGTCGATTTTGTGTGTTCATATATATATATATATATATATATATATATATATATATATATATATATATATATTTATGTTTATTGGGATGTTATATATATTATATTATAGTGATTTTATGTCAAACTCGTCGATTCGTGTGAATCGAGCGAGAGCTGAAAATAAGTGATGAGTTGCTGTGGATTTAGGAACTTAGGATTATTTCGAACACAATGGCGCTGACCTCGTGTCAATTGGAAGTGTACAATTGCCGTTATGATTTTTCGAAGTTGATATTGGCTGTTTGGAATGAAAAATTCACTATAAATTGAATACTAGTCCGATTGCCTTCAAATTTTAGGAGCAGCTGTTTTTGATGAATATATAGCTGCTGTAAAATGTTCGTAATTTTTAAAGGTCTTTAGCTATTTTAAAAATTAATTTAATTTCTGTTCAGTTTCTTGTAAAATGTATAAATAATGTTTTGGTGCTCCATTTTGACTGATTTTCGAGTATGATATGTCCCCGGTATAATTATGTGTTGTGTAAAATTTTTAGAATTTTTGAACTAGGTTTGATTGCGTTAATGATTTAATTTATATTTCTGCCAGAATTTGTTTTAATTATTCTAAATTGTTCTGAATCTGAAAAATTCTGAACATTTGTCGAAGTTCTGATGTTTAGCATGCTGTAAAAAGTTTAGAATTTTTGGAGTTCAGTTGTGATCATTTTTTATATAATTGCGATATTTGGCTGAATGTTGTTTTAATTTTATAAATTGATATACTAAGTGTTGAAGGCTGATAAATTTATGTTTTACTGTTCACATGCTGTAGTATTTTAGATAAAAATTTGATAGCCTGAATCGTCCATTATCATGTGATTTTAATTTTAAACTCGTTTTTGCTGAAAAACTTGTTTGAATTTTATAAAATTATGCATAAGGAGTTTGAAGGTGAAATTGGGTGATCTTACTTAGAACTGGGATTTGAAATTTATGTAAAAGTTTCAGAACCTAACTCATTGATTTGATATGCCTTCTAATTCAAGTGTAAATTTGAGAAATTATTTTTCTATGTTGAAATGTGTTAAGTGTTGATGACCAAATGTGCCATGTGTTTACTTGTGTCTCATTTGTTTGTCTCTCACTTGCATTTATGTGAACTCGAATATGTGGTTTGATCGAGTCATAGTCCTAGTGTTCCCATATCCACAGAACTTCACGAACCACTTGGTCGAACTGAGTTCGGCTAAGTCAATCTGTGAATTTTCTACATAGGTCTAGATTAAAGTGTTGACTTTAGTATCTGGACTTAATGTAGGTGTCTAGAGGTGTTTAACCTCGCCTCATTTCGAGATTTGTGACTTTAAACTGTTGCTGCAATCAGGTGGGTACATTTATGATGTATTCCATATTTATCGCACTTATTATTTCGTGTAATGATTCTTTTGAAAATTATTGTATGCATGACAACTCTAGTCTAAGTGGCTCAGCTTTTGTCCATTTTGTGAAGTAGTCGACAGCAACAACGGCATACTTCACTCCGCCCTTTCCGTTGGGTAGGGGGCCGATTAAGTCGATCTCCCATTTGGCGAACGGCCACGAGCTAAGGATCGATTTCAAAGGTTGAGAAGGTTGGGTGATGTTGGGCGCGAAACTTTGACATTTTACGCATCTCCGAGCCATCCCCAAGGCGTCTTTCTTCAGACTGGGCCAGTAATAGCCTTGTCTTAGAACTTTATGAGCGAGGGCGTATCCTCCAGAGTGGTTTCCGCATACGCCTTCATTAATCACTTTGAGTACGGCGCTTTTCTCGTCAATACATTTGAGCAGGGGCGCCGAGTATCCCTGCTTGAACAGTTCAACGGCCACGATTGTGAATCGAGCTGCCCGCGTGCGTAGCTGCCTGGCCTCTTTTGGGTCAGGCGGCAGTGCACCGGTCTCCGAATACGACCGGATCAGGACCATCCAGCTCGGGTCTTGGTCTACAGTTGTCTGCTCGGCACTTAGGACGGAAAGGCCGAGCACCGATGGTTGTCCCTTGTGGCTTATCTGAATGTATTCGACACTTTACACCCCGGCACTTAAGGCGAGGTGGGCAAGGGCATCGGCCTATACGTTTTCTGTCCGAGGGATGTGCTCTATTCGAGTCCGAAACTTGGTTAATCTCTTCTTTACTAGCCCCAGATAGGGGACCAGCCTCGGTTCTTTTACCTCGAACTCCCGGGAGATCTGTTTGACCATCAACATCGAGTCTTAATATACGGTGAGGTCGGTTAGGCTCATAGCTTCTACCAGGGCGAGCCCAGATAGCAATGATTCATACTCGGCTTCGTTGTTAGTTGCTGGAAAGAGGTACTGGATTGAGTGGCAAAAGAGCTTTTTATGGCGATCTACGAGGATGACCCCTCCACCTGCTCGTCCGGCAGTGGAGGATCCGTCCACGTACATCACACATGGCTCCTCGTTCCTCGTCTCCTCGAGTCCCGGCGTGAATTTAGCTAAGAAGTCCGAGAGTACCTTCCCCTTCATTGTTGTTCAGGGTCGGTAATGGATATCGTATTGTCCCAGCTCCACCGCCCATTTCACCATTCGACTGGATGTGTCAGGTCGGTGCAGGATCTGTATAAGTGGGTAGGCTATGAGGATGGTGATCGAGTATTCCAGGAAGTACGGTCTCAGCTTTCCGGCTGCGGTCACTAAGAAAAAAAAAGACATTCAAACGTCTAACAGCAAAGCCCGACTGTGAAAGCAAATGTCCAGAAGCTAAGCTTGGAAGCCAAACAAACGCCCACCGTAGAAGCCCGACTTTGAAAGCAAACGTCTAGGAGCTAAGCTTAGAAGTAAAAATAAAAACGTCCAAACGTGAAGCCCGCTATGAAGAAGAATGTCTAATAGCAAAGGGGCAACACATTTGGAACTTTTGGAATCCAAGTTTATCATATAATTAAACGTCTCAGGAGAAAGCTTAAGGCCATATAAAATGTTCAGGAGTTATGCTTTGATGCCAAACAAACATCCTATCGTGAAGCCCGACATGAAGAAGAACGTTCACGACGAAAGCTTGTATTGGTCTTAAATGTTCAAAAACAAAGCTTGCCAACAAAAGGAACGTCCAATGGCAAAAAGGAAACACATTTTGAACTTTTGAAATCCAAGCTTATCATACAATCAAACATCTTAGAAGGATGCTTATAGCAACAACAAACATTTTTAAGGAAAGCTTAATGTAACCAGAAACGTCCAACGTGAATGCTTCCTCAATAATGTGATTTCTTCTACATATCACTCAAACTACTTTCTCCAATATCTCAAAATAATCTACCTAACATCAACCCAAGCAACAACGTTTTTAAAGGATATAGAATTGTTATTCTTTAATATATTCTTATTTTTAATATAATTTTAATAATAAAATTGTAATCATATAATAATAACAAAATAAATAGGGTTTAGGGTTGTTTAAGGTTTAATTATGAAAAATATTTAATATCTTATTAGTTTATAAATAATTATGATAGTTGTGAATGGACCTCACTTAGACTATTAGTCCAACAGAAATGACCTCATTTTTTTAGTGAATTACAATAAGGGTACTGTATGCACGTTCCTGTTTATATTTTATGGGTTTAGAGTACTAGTCATGGCCATGGGCCGGCCCAGCCCGCCGGTCCAACCCGAACTGACCCTGAACTGGCACGTGGTCAACAGGCCTAGAATCGAGCTCGTAGTTTTACTGGGCCAGTTCTGGGCCTCATGGGTAAAAGTTTTTGGACCGGTGGACCCAACCCTCGAGACGGCCCGCCATCTTTCCTTTTTTTTTTCTAATTTGTGGACTGGGTCAGGCCTGCCCGTGGCCTGGTCTTGGATTGTTGGCAGCCCGAATATCTGGGCCATTGAAAGCTTTTGACCGTTGAAGATCCAATTACCTTTCAATCTCGAGACGTGGAACAATCACTAATCATCCTCGAGGTCTCCGGTGGCAAGCCAAAACGTTAGGTTAGTCCACTAACTTTGACTATAGTTGAAAAGGTTAGACAACTAAGCTATAATTCCTCTGCTATGGTGGTCTACCTTGTCAGGCTGATCGGGTTCTACTTTACCGTACACTTCGTCGGGCTGATCGGGTGCTGCCCGATTAGACGAAGGTGTTTACCTTGTCAGACTGATCAGGTCTCAACCAATTAGACAAGGTTCGATGTACGCTCCGTCCGGAGTTTCTATTTGAGTTAATGTATTTTCTTGCTGATCAGGTCTAACCCGATTAGACAAGGTTCGGAATACACTCCGGACTCCGTCCGGAGTTTTCGTTGGAGTTAATATATTTTCTTTCTTTGTCGTTGGAAAAAAAAAAAGGAATGAATAATGATTACTATCATTAAAGAGGGGATGAAAATATGAAACAATTTTAGAGAATAATTTTAAATAAGAAATATAATGAATGGAAGATGAACTGCACTAAAATAAGAAAAAACTTGGAATTTAAAAAAACAAAAAGGACAAAACATGGATTATATTTTGTCCTACTGCCGAAAAAAAAAACATAAGTTGTATAGATTAATATGAAACAGTAATTTTCTCAAAGCTCAAGCTCTGGCATAAAAAAAAAAAACACCGTAAGTTGTATAGATGAATACGAAATTGTGTGAAGGCTATAAGGTGTACAGATGAATATGAAAATGTAGTAAGACCTACGGGGAGTAATATTCTCAAAGCTCAAAGCTCATTCTCGGTTCGTTCGATTACTAGAAAAGAATCAAGCTCAACCTAAGCTTTTTGTTCGTTTTATCAAATGAGCAAAAGCCCATACACAAACGGCTCGGCTCAGACAACACCCCTACAGAAATGTTACTATCACGATGCAATGGAGACTCTAAAATGGTTATTGACTATAACGAGACCGAAAAGGCAGGGAACATACAAACATGGAAGACAGAAATACATATCTCAAATTAGATGATACAGTAGTGATTGCACCAGTTCTATAACAAGACAGCATGCATAGTTTCTCAGAGTACCCACATAAAACTTAAAAACAGTCCCGGGATGAAAGCCCAACGACAACTACAAAGCTCAAGAAACCTGCATTTCCTACTAGGCATAAGAAGCAAAACTAATTAACATATCAGAATTCGCACATCTTCAACATCCTGCAAGCAAATATCAGCCAGAACCAAACTGTTTGAAACCCTCTCCTGCTGGAACCTCTACATACCTGTACAAAAGTCCACGGTAATTCATCATTAAAACCAGTTTCTCAAGTCCCTATAAGCAGAACCTGGACCTGCAAAACTTGTAAATAAGGTGAGTTCGCGCACATCTAAAATGTTACGAAAAATCAAAACTGAACAAACGATTGAAACTCACAAGAGTGGATGTGTTGTGGATACATGGTGCCTGACTGCACAAACCAACACAGAACCACTAGCAGGTAAAAAGGAACACGCGTATACAAAAATAAAATAAAATAAGACGTTTAAAAATAATTACAAATCAAATATGTGGCAGAAGAGCTGACAAAGACAAACTGAGAACAGTACTACCTAAAAAGTGATGTATCTACAAAAAATTTCGCAATACTGACTTAGACAGATATTAACCCAATATACCATTTGGTTGGAGAACTTCAAAGTTCGAACAAGTAACACAATCATTCTCAGTTATGTTACAACAAAAATTAAAATCACAACCCAATGCATGTTGGTAAGAAACCATACGTAGGTCTCAAAACAGTCAGGAACAATTGGATGTAGTATGTTTTTGGAGCATTTTGTCTTTTTCAAAAATAGAGATAAAAACACAGAAAAAGTTGTTTTCAGAACAACAGAGAGATTTGAAATTGCAAATGGATGTAAGATAAATGAAATGATTAGAGCTGACATAAATAAAATGATTAGAGCTGACATGATATAAAACTTATGATGTATTGATAATGCTTGATACGATATGAGCAGGTGAATAGTATTTTTGTCGTATAGAAGGCAATGCTTCAAGTAAAAAGTCAAAAAGAGATTTCAGTACTTGATTTTGAAACTGATAGACCTGAATCCATTCGCAGATTGTTCAAAAGGAAGACTAGACAAGAGTGCTGGGATGGAAAAGGATAAAAAGAAAGCCAAAAAATGGGCCAGTGCAAGAATTCTTAAAACCGATGGGGGAGCCATGGCACTTTCATGCAGACATACAT